GTACGTGTTAAGTGAGTTCCGCTGGAAGATAGATCGCAGGCTATAACCTGCTACTTCCATTGTGGCGGATATCAAGCCAGATCTATTAAACGGTGTTTTGCAAGTGGCATGGCTGTTTCCTCGGCGAGCCTTCTGACACGGGGTAAGTAGAGTCGTCTCAGCAAAGAACGGTCTTTGAACAAGGTAGAATTAAACAAATCGTTATTGTGGAGTGAGGGATATGTTCCTCGTCTGCATTCACCCTAATATAGTACGTAAAGTATTATAAAATCTATGCACATAAAGCGACCAGTCTTTTGATTCAGCGTACAGGCTCTCTACGAGGCTAGTTTGAAAAGAACCTGTAGAAAGGCAGATGCCTAGATGTTAGACAGGGTAGAAAGAGAGATAGAGAGGCTTGTCAATAATCTGCCGATGAATCTGCAAACAAGGATGCAGCTACCCGCACAAGCAATCATCGTTATTCACGCGTGCTAGATATAACGCCTTGTCTTCTTGGACCCGACGCGTTTTTTCAGTTCTCTTCGGCGAACATTGCTCCAAATCACGACCTGCCGAGTAGCGGGTAAGACAGAGAATGACGCAGGAGACAAGGCAAAAAAGCAGGTACCGGACACATTTTCTCCTTACCGCGAACGTTGCGCCAGAAGCTCTCAGGATGACACGGACCTCTAAGTATTTTGTCGCTTTACCAACCACTTAGACCACATTGCCGCGCGTGGACGGCACACTTGCTGGTATTATAGCACACGAAATTATTTCAGGGCTCCTTGCGCGCGATTGGAGCAATAGGATTTTCTTTCCCAATCGCCCTCGCCGATTGTGTAATGCTTGCTCCTTGAATGTGAACGCCAAGATGTATAAGGCGAAGACTCCTTCAGCTCTAATGGTCGCCGTTTAATCTATACACGGGCCATATACGTCTATATTTAGAATGTAACCTCAGTGTATCAGCATGTAAACTTTTAATTGAAAAAGAAAAAAAAAACACGAAAAACTTTGACACAAGTAACCTATAGGATAAAAGATAAATTTTGGCGAAGATCTACATAAAGGATAGGCGGTTCAGAGTATACCTTATATTGTAAGAGCCTTGCAAGGCCCTAGGTGCCCGATCCAATGGGAGTGGTCCATGAACTTCAACGCTCCTGTAAAAATGTGTACATCGGCCAGACCAGTAAACAATCGAGTGAGACAGCATGCTTGTTACATTTTTCGCTTGAGACATTTTTTCGCTTGAGACAATCGCTTGAGACATTTTTCTATACATTTCAGCACGTGTCAAGGTGTGGCAATATCACCATTTTATGTAGAAGCAAGGAGGTTATTGAGCGAGAGATGCTAGAAGAATACCTCTTCACTAAGAAGAGATAGTTGTATTAGCGAAACGTCTGTGGTGGTGTGGCCACCTGATATTGATTTTTACCTGCCTATAAACTAGCACGTGCAGTGTGATGCTCCGTCTGTGGGATGTGACGTAATCGCGTGCTTTCGCGTTTGTGGCATGGTGCATAGTGAGGTGGTTTGACTTGAATATAGTTAGTTGCAAGTTTACGCTATTTTCTTTCTACCAATATTCCCCCAATTTTCTTTTTGTATGAAGCATATTAACAACACTCGATCACAGACTTCCGAGAAAGCACTCGTGCTCTACAGAAGATGGCTTTAGCGAATACATGCGTACATCACCTAACTAAACCTCAAAACAAGTAAATTTAGGTAAAGAATTCAAATTATATTTAAAAATACACTTTGCATACACCGCTGCACTATTATATCATCTAAGAAATCGACACAGCACGCGAAGTTTCTTCCAATATGTTATCAGTGCCCCGGCAGACAGCGTGGCCAGTGCCTCACAGCACACTGTAGCACTGGGCCACATTTTGCACTGTCGTTTGCTGCACTCGACGGCATGGGCTACACTGTGAAGTGTGTCCCGGTGCCTACAGTGTGCTGTAGTACATTGGGACACACTGCTCAGTGCTTCCAGTGCCACCCATCGCGCTGAAACGCAGTAAAAGGCTATGAAAATGTTTCTTTTTTGCATACAGAGTCCCTATTTCTGCGAAGCCGCAAACAAAAACTGCAGCAAGCCTAGCCTTAACATTTTTCTATAAATGTGCCGATAAATATTAGCTAGTTACACATTGTCAAGAGTCATGTTGACCAGGACCAAAACACAACTTTGCAATAATCAATTACTACAAAAATACTTGACAGTGCGCTATCAGTATGTTTCTATCGATCAAGAGATATCTCCGCGTGCTAATGTTAACAATTGTGTGTCACAAGAATGGATATCTGGTCCTCTCTTATTTATAGCTTATGTTAACGACTAATGTGATATTCCGAGTTCTCCTAAGGTAATCATGTATGCTAATGACACCAATATTTTTTTGCTGATTACTCAAACCCTGAGCTTTTAAAAACTGTGAACACATATTTAAATAAGTTGTCTTGCCGGCATAAACTAAACAAGTTGTAGCTAAATGCAAGTAAAACTAAATTTATGTTTGAGCCTATCAACTAGCCACGAAACAGAAATAAAAATGTCTCCTTTGAGGAACAGCCTTTAGAACAAGTAAGGATACGCAAGTTCTTAGGCGTGTGGTACCAGGAAGACCTTTCTTGGAATGCACACATAAACTGGTAGCAGACCTAAGTAGAAGTGTGGATGTATGTGCAGACTATTTCTATTGTTACCGCTTTGGCTAAAGAAAACGTTATATAATACATTATTCTACTCCAGGCTAATTTATTGTGTCTTGTGTTGGGGAAGAACGACAGCACAGAACTATAAGACGCTACTCATGTTACAGAAAAAAGTACTACGACTAATCTAAGGATACTGCGGTCACCCACAAAAACATTTTACACGTTAGTTATTTTCAAAATATTTCTAAATACAAGCAAACCAAATATATTTCTACAAGTTGCTTTCGTACATAAGAAATAAACTATACCCCATGTTTGATTCTTCTTGGTGTGTTGAGTACTGTTTCCGTACAACTGGCATAACAGCACACAGAACAGGAATTACCTATGGTCAGCAACATACTATAAAAAATTTGGCGCCTTATCTGCATGTTAACCTGCGAGTGTCGTCAAAAGACGATAGTATTGCGTGTGGAGAGAGTTAACCAAACATTTATTTGATGTTCTGAAAAAGAAAATCAATCAATGGTATTCTGGAGGCGCCGCGTTAGTGTGCCTCGAGCGTGCAGCGGAGGTGAACGAGTGCATCAAGTCACGTCACACGTAAGACATGAGGGCCTCCTGGCAGTTTTGTTAGAAAACAAAGCGCGTGGCTCTGAGACGGGTGTGCGCGCACGTCTCAGAGGTGATAAGGTGTAGAACGCAAGACGACGGGAAGCGCCTCCACCGTCTTGTCTTAGCAAAGTATTGAAAACACTCGCCTCTTCGTGCAAGCCTTACATGGTCAGTGACACGTGATAAGCGCTACGGTCCTTAAAATACCGATGTATGTCTTTTCTTGTAAAAGACGCACATGGGGAATATATACCTGTTGTTATAGTGTCCCAGACATTCGCAACACTTGGTTTTTATATGACAATGGCACAAGTAGAAACACTGAATCTGGAGCAACATTAGTGGTCGCTGCGGATGGGGTCAGCCGTTTCAAGTACCCCATGTGGTTAAGAGCGGACAAAGACACAAATGTACAGACAGACAGACATACAGACAGACAGGCAGGCAGGCAGGCAGGCAGGCAGGCAGGCAGATAGAAAGACAGACAGACAGACAGACAGACTGACAGACAGACCAAAATTCTTGCGCCGAAGGTCTTTTATACCCAGTCTCTTCAACAAACTTGAAAATGCTGTTTACCTAAATGAAGAAAATTCCTAAAATGCATTCAAAGGAATTTTTTATAATTGCATTGTATATGTTTATTATAATATTTCGATTAGTTATCGCTTTATCTTTACCAATTGTTAACTCTATAGTTCATATGCTGTTGTTTGCTTTCGAAATGTGTATGTCTGCAAACTGTGTGTTTTTGATTTCACCTGTTTTACATATTCTGATAATGATATAAAGAAAATTCCTAAAACGGATTCAAAGGAATTTTTTATAATTGCATTGTATATGTTTATTATAATATTTCGATTAGTTATCGCTTTATCTTTACCAATTGTTAACTCTATAGTTCAAATGCTGTTGTTTGCTTTCGAAATGTGTATGTCTGCAAACTGTGTGTTTTCAATTTCACCTGTTTTACATATTGCGATAATGATATTTTTCTTTAATAGTATTTTGTCTTTTGTTATGCATATTGTTCTGTTATTTTTTACATTGTAGCGTCTATTTGTCTGAATATATTTTGGTGATTGTTAGTTTTTGTGTAAAAAAATGTTTTTATCTGCGTCTAAGTAGTGTACCAGCCCGTATTTCGGAGCGAAAGCCTCCGTTCGGCTTTACAGCCTTTTGCTTTTGCTTTGTTTTTTCTTGTATACAGAAAAAAAATTAACTAACCCTGAAACCTATGAATACGAAAATACATGTGCAAAAGCACCACACTTATGTTTTTTTTTATTTTTAGCTTTCGTTTCTCAGAGCACTCGTTCACGAAATTAAACTTGTCTGCGCTTTACCTTCGCCGATACGTGTGGATTGTAAAGCATGAAGCCGTATGAGCTTTTGAGTAGAAGATGAAGCAGGAATGGAAGGGTGGCAAAGACTAGAACGATGAAGTCAAAAATAAAGCAGATTAGGATGAGGCCAGTATCTCCCTGAAGACTTATTGCTGTTCTGTTTCTTCAAGTAGGAACACTACATTCTTTTGGCGCAGGCAGTCGTAGCCAACGTTTGAGTGACATTCATTCCTGAAGAAACCTCCACGAAGAAGCTAAGCATTTCGAAGTACGAAGTTCAAGATGAAGCAACGGTAGAGTTACCTCGTGAGCTCAGCTGGGAAGAACTCGTGAACCTGGTTGTGAAAAAAGTAGCCATGGACATTACCAATAAATGATGGACAGGTGGCGTGAAAGTTAACTTGCATTTAGCGACCATACAAGACCAATTTCTTGAACCAGTGCGTCGAAAAGACTCAGGATCGCGGACTTTGACAGAACAGGGGGCCTCATTTCAAAAGCTCTTCAGCTGCAACAAGAACAGATTGTTCAACAAAAGGAGATAGTGGCATCGTCTATATGCTCACGAATTCTGCAAAACCAGCGTCTCAATTCATGGAACCTGGTACCTTCAACAGTGTGTCTTCAAGTCCAGAAACTTGGCTTGAGTTCTATGATCATGCCGCCGGGAAGAACAAGAGGCTCCCTGGTCAGGAGAAAATAACCAATATGCACGTTTACATGAGTGGTGTTGCACGCAAGTGGTAATATACACACATTATGTAAGGCAGAGACGATACTAGGATCCAGTAAAAGCTAAGATTTTTTTACTGCACTCCGCAGCAATCTAGTACAACGTTGGAACGCACCACTCCACTGGTTGAGAGCTGTGTTTAATCAAAGTACAAGCAAGGCCATCTTGTCTAATACTTCTTGGAGAAACACTGTTTGCGAAAGCTTGCTGAGCCCATGGTTTTATTTTCAACGGTGGTAGCCCCAATATGCATGTATTAGCCCTAATATCCGTCGTATCTTTCATAATGCAGCAGCTTCAGTAGCATTTAGGCCCCTAAAACAGCTTCTCAACTTCGTAGCGCTGTGATCTTACTTCCGGTGGTTCGTACCCAGGTTAACAAGTATCAGCTACCCCCCTCACAAATCTAGGCAAGAGCACCACATTTCAGTCGACTCGTGAGTGTGATTGCTAATTTTCGTCAGCTGAAACTTCCCTGAACTACACTCGCCACTTCGACCCTCCATCTTCAACACAAAAGCAAGCGGTGGCAGCATTGGTGCATTATCTTTCAGCGCTTTGGCAACAAAGAGTATGTCGTAACACACGCAAGCACATTCTCTAAGCAAGCTCAAACTGATATATTTATTTATTTTACATATACTGCCAATCCCAATTAGGGATTATTGCAGGAAGGGCACATACATTGTGAAAAAGCAAGATTTACACAGAGGGTACTCATTGAATTATTATAATAACGAGTGAGACAAAGCCGACAGGAATACATTTGAGGACTACATCCGTACCACTAAAATACATTCAGTAGCATAGGACATCCATTCCAACTAGTACTGGAAGAAAAGAAAAGTGAGCACTTCAAACAGTGGACAAGAAAAAAACAGGGTTCGTCAGTTCTGAAGACAATAAATAACATGCGAGCAGAGATGAAAAAGTTTCCAATGATTGACTGTTTGTTATACTGATTGGCAAATTATTCCACTCGCGAATTGCTAGTGGAAAAAAAAGAATATTTCAGACAGTCCGTCCGGCACTGATATTCATTCAGTGTCTGAGAATGCTTTTGTCGTGTTGGCCTTGCTTCTTTAAATGACATATACTTTGAACTGTCTATGTTCAGCTGTTGGTGAACTAACTGATATAGGAATTTCTGACGCGCCAGTTTAGCGCGGTTTTTTATTGTTAAGAGACCTTCTTTTTTTAAAAGTTCTGTGGGTGAGTCAGTTATTCTGTACTTGTTATAGACAAATCTTATCGCTTTTCGTTGTATTCGTTCTAGGGCATTTATGAGATTGTTTGTAAAGGGAAACCACACGACGTTTGCATATTCTAAGACAGGTCTGACGAATGCTTTGTAGGCTAGAAGTTTCATTTCAGGTGGCGCAGAAGCGAGGCTTCTACGAAGGAAAAACAGCCGTTTTAATGCAGCTGATGTGACATGACTAACGTGAATATCCCATGTAAAATCTTGCGTTAAAGTTAAACCTGAAATTTGTGTTCAGTCACTATCGAAAGTGCAGAGTTATTTATAACGTAAACAAATTCAGATACTTGCTTTTTTCATGTTATCCTCAAGAGAGTAGATTTTTGAACATTCAGGGTCATTTGCCAAAGAGCACACCACTTAGATATGAACTGCAAGGCATTGTTCAGTTTTACACAATCTTCTGGTGCGTTTATTTCCTGGTAAAGTATACAATCATCGGCGAAAAGCCTTACATTAACACCAATGCCAGCAGGTAAATCATTAATGAAGATCAAAAATAAAATGGGGGCCAAAACACTGCCCTGCGGTACACCTGACGTAACGTTGGCTATGGTAGAACTTTCGCGATTGGCTTGCACATACTGTGTTCGGTTACTCAGATAATTGTCGATCCAGTCAGTAAGTGGGTCTGCGCCTATCGTTGCTTCTAATTTTTTTTGTGGCACCCGATCAAACGCCTTTGAGAAATCTAATAGAAATAAATCAGTTTGTTTTGTACAGTCTACATTGAGGGAGCTGTCGTGAATTAGTTCAACCAGTTGGGTAACTGTAGATAGTCCTTTGCGAAAACCGTGTTGTAGTGGCCAAAAGATGTGATTCTGGTCAAGGTACAATGTTAGATGTTTAAGAATAATGTGTTCCAGTAGTTTGCAAGTTGTGCTGGTTAGTGAAATGGGTCTGAAATTTGAAGGGTCAGCTTCGCTACCAGATTTATGAACAGCAGCTACTTTTGCGATTTTCCATTCTTGGGGGAGGGAACAGGTTGATAGGGACTTATTAAAAAGTATACACAAGTATTTGGCTACCCATTCAGCATATCGCCTAAGAAATTCATTTGACAAGTTATCGGGACCGGCACCCTTTTTAGTATCTAATTTTAACAACAAGTTAAGCACTCCGGGCTCTGTCACAACAGGCGGTTCAATATGTCGGGTGTTGCAAATGTCAACATCAGGCACATTTCCATCATCAATCGTGAAAACAGATTGGAAATAGTTATTTAGCGAGTTTGCTTTATCTTTCCTTTCTTCCGGGGCCGCGGGCCTAATACGGTTTTGGGATTACGGTAGTTCCAGAACTTCTGGGGAGACGTTTTCAAAAAGTTGGGTAGTGTACTTGTAAAATAGTTTGCTTTGGACATTTTTATTTTGGATTTCACCTTAGTAATTGCTTGACCCAACTTGTTCCGAATTTGTAGGAGTACGTTTTGCCTTCAGAGTTTTTCTGAGGCGCTTTACTTGACGCTTGCAGTGAATAATTTCACGCGTTATCCAGGGAATATGTTTTCGTGTTTTCTTTGTTTTAGATGGCACATAGTTAAGAACGCAATGTGTTACGACTGATTTGAAGCTTGCCCATAGTATTTCCACATTTGTGTTTGAATCATTCGCAAGTAGTTCGAATGAAGCAAGTTCATGGAAAAGATGATCAAGTATACTGGTGTCATCGGCATGGTTAAAGTCAAGATAGGCAGAAAAGGAGTTGGGCGGTATAGGGATGTCAACTATAGAAACGGAGCCCTGAATAACTTCGCGGTCTAATATGCCCTCAAGAATTTCAACCTGTGCATTATCTGCAGGAAAATGATCGCTTAAGAACACCAAGTCGAGTATATTAGAACAGCACCTTTGGATACGGGTAGGCTGTTTTACGATATGGGACAGATTAAATGTCAACATGATGTCAATGAGCGCATCCGTGCATGCGCTGTTGTGTTGCATTGTTCGCCAGTTTATATCGGGTAAGTTAAAGTTGCCGAGCAAAATTAGCCTGGCTCCGAGAACATACCGATGCACATACGTGTGCAATGCCGGCAAGCTATCCTTGTCTGAAGATGGGCTGCGATAAACGCAGCCAACAAATACTGGGCGAGAAGTGAAGAGAAGCCTGCAAAATATTGCCTCGACTCCGATAACCTCAGGAAGTATTTCAAAGGAAAGCTCTTTTTTAAGTAGGATGGCCACGCCTCCCCCGCGTGTCTGCCTATCTTTACGAATGATGACGTAGTTGGGGGGTGTTACCTTAAAATCCTTTGTCTCATTTGTCAGCCATGTTTCTGTCAAAGCTACGAAGTCAGGTTCAATTCCAAGAAGTAAGGATTCAAGCGGTACTAATCTTTGAAGCATGCTGCGGGTGTTTATGGTAAGAAATGTTATTTCTTTCGTTGGCTGCGGCGTTGTGGCTCGCCTGATGCTTCCGCTTCGTCGTTTTTTTCATGGTTAATGGTGTGACGGCCAGCGCTTACGAGCACAATATCAATTGCATCGTTATCCCATCGGTATAGATCTTCATTCACTTTTAACTTGTCATAGACCGGACATACTTTGTCTCCAGCTCCTTTTTTGGTTCTTGCAATTTGCCAAAGCATTTTTCTGATGTATCTTACTCTATTTGAGAAGTCCTCTCCAACAGAGAAAGTGGTGCTCTTTAGTTTCGTGCAGTTTCTAAGAATGGTTACTTTGTCTCGGAAGTCGAGGAGTTTCAGCATCACTGGTCTAGGTTTTTGAGCGTTTTGTTTTCCTATCCTGTGGATTCTTTCTATACGCAATAGCCTAGCAAAAATGCTACGCAGCAGTATTCACCGTGCGAAGGTTTCGCTCCTACGTTCACCATCATCCCAGACCATAGCCCCAGACCACCAATGCCTGTGCTGGCTGGTCAATCTTCGTGACCCATCCGGACGGCTTGCTCGATGGGCCCTTCATTTAAATGAAAATGTATTGACTATTCTGTACAAAATTAGAAGCCAACACAATAATGCAGATTGCCTTTCCAAGATGCCACTACCTACGACAGATTGCGAAGGCAACAACTTTGGCCATCTTCTCAGTGAATGCATGAATGTCAGTGACCGCTTGAAATGTCTTTCCCCTCCAATGCAAGGCTCGCTAAGTGAAGGCCGATTTTGCATTAGGCATGGTATTTACAGAAGCAACTTATCAACGACGAGCACTCGCTTCTTATTGCTGATTCCTGATTGTCTTTGCGCATCTGCGCTGCGTATTACGCACGATGCCCCAAAGCCTGCTCACTTAGAGATCACGCGAACACTGAATCGCACCAAAAGCCTGGTTTTACTGGCCCAAAATAGCAATTCAGTTGAGACCTATAAGACTATGTACAAAATCTCAGTGACACAAGCTACATACCCCAGCTCCGGTCGGTTACCTCCAAGAAATGACGTCACCCAGCACACTTTTTTAAAAGGTTGGCATAGACCTGATCAGCCCATTCCCGAGTTCTTCGAGAGGCAGTGAGTGGATGATGGTATGTGCTGACTACATGACACGGTAAGGCGAGATGGCGGCCTTATCCACAAAAATGGTAGCCCAGGTTTTGAAATGATACTCCATCCCATCTTTTCCCAGTACGAGCTTTCTCGAGTAATAATAAGTGACCATGGTCGTCAATTTACTGTTGTTCAATAATTAATTTGCTCGGGTGCCTCTGAGTTTACACACTTGATAGT